TGGTTTAACAATAGTAACCATTGTCTTTGGATTTATAGTAAAATCATCGTTAATTTTCGTAAGGGTTGTGTGTTATTGTCTGCCCTAGCTCCCCCTAAACATATTATAAAATATGACTATTTGTCTGCTAAATTACTACTGTAAAATTACCATAGATAATAATGATGTCCTTTATACAGTATTTTGAGTGATGACTGATGAGCAATGGGCTGCTGCTGCTTAACTAAGTAAACAAAGACAAAACTACAATAGCATATTTACAGATGAAACTGACCTGCACTTGAAACCCTGAACAGTAGTTTTGCTTCTCTGCTCCACCTGTGCGCTTCCACAGTCCACTTCATTCTCTCTCTCGCATTGATTACTCTGATCCAAGAGTAATATTAATAGTGTGGCTTAATATTCACAGACACTAGTCAATATCACGTTTTGATTCAAGTGTACTGACCTACTTTTGATTTATTCGTCGAAAATGTGGCATATTTTGTCCGCGTTAGGCTAGGAATCCCATTTTTATGACTGGATTCTACGAACCAGTCTGTGTTTTCCGCATCGCAGAAATTATAAGGCCGTATGTCTCAGACTAATCAGTGCAATTTGGGAAAGAAATCAATTAAATCTGTATGTGGATGTGTGTAAATATTCAAATGTAATCCCCTTTGTAATCGTTAACATTTTCATAAGTAACTGTAATTTAATTACACATTTTTTCTTAGTAACTGTAACTGATTACAGTTACATTTATTTTGTAATTAAATTACGTAACGCCGTTACATGTAACTAGTTACTCCCCAACACTGGTAAAATCTATTGAGTAGCACTTATAAAATATGTTACTGTTGTAGCCTACATAATGTAAAAAATATATATAAAAATGCTGTACCTGCGTTGGTATAGTTTACGTATAATCGTTCTTTGAGTCATTTTTAATGAACTGGTTTATCAAACTAGCCTCAACGATTTGATTACGAACTAGATTGAATCAGTAGTCAGTTCTCGAACTGACTGAAATCTGAACTTCTTCATGTTAACGAATCATTAAACCGAAGGCGGTCCCTTTCTGATTCGTAAGGAGTCGAAAACTGTGAACTGATTCTTTTTGTACGAAAATGTATCTAATTCACTACTTCAGACTTATGTGCCTCCTGGAAGCTTGCGTTCTGCGAGTGAACGGCGCATTATTGCAAAAGGGTCTGGCTGCAGCCTGGTGCTTGCGCTCTCAGACTTGCATTCTCAGGCTTGCACTCTCAGACACTTGCACAGACTGCAAGTGACGTCGCTAGCGGAAGTGCAAGTGTCTGAGAGTGCAAGCCTGAGAATGCAAGTCTGAGAGTGCAAGCGCCAGGCTGCAGCCAGACCCTTCTCCATTATTGTGCCATCCCAAAGTGGCACAAACTTTCAAGGTCTTTTAATGACCTGCCCAACTCAATTCGAGCAGCTGAGTCCTTAGCCATATTCAGAAAACGGCTAAAAGCACATCTCTTCCATCTTTATTTGACCCTCTAACTCTAGCACTCTCTATTCTAATTCTATTTCATAAGCTATTTGTTGACTTGACCCTCTAACACTGACACTCTCTATTCATTTTCTAACTGCTTGTTTTCTTTAAAAAAAGGCCTCCCACAGCTTTCTCTATTATTTTTCTATTCTATATACTTGTATTATTTTTGTTATATGTAGGCCTACTGTGTGTATATATATATATATTATTATTTTTTTTTTTTTTTTACTTACTACGTGTAGCTACTGCGTTAGGCTTGTCATAGCACTTGCATATTATTGCTCTTTTGTTGGTTTTGATTACTCCTATTGTCATCATTTTAAGTCGCTTTGGATACAAGCGTCTGCTAAATGACTAAATGTAAATGTAGGCTAAATGTAAAATTTGACTGGTGATGGAGCAGTAATTAATTAGCAGAAATGTTAACAAATAAAACTTGATTGTAATACATGCACACAAAAACTTTTTTAAACAAAGATAGGCTATTTAAATAAATTGTAGTTTTGTTTATTGTAAATGCAAATAATATTATAAATAGCTTTGTTTTAGTAGCTAAATCATGGCTCCAACGAATACCCTTATCAATGATTTTAACCAAAATATAAGAAAACATATGTAATGTAGCCTACCTATGGTTTTATTTGAACATTTTAGATAAGGTAATGTGCCAACGCCGAAACCGCGTGATGACTATTGTGTCTTGACGTAAAGAAATTCTGAATCGTCAAAACTGGCCCCTTAAAATGAACTGTTCGAAAGAATCGATTCGCGGAAATGAATCAAACCTCCCTTCTCTAGTCTCTGCAGGAAAGTAATGGGAGTTACCAAATTGGGGCGTTTTTAGATCATGTTTCCTGATTGGTTGACGTCTTAGTTACGCTAGCTTTAGGGGGTGGGGTTAGGTAAGGGAGTCATTTTGATTGCCCGATCGAGAAACACCCTGCAGTTTGAAAACACCCACAAATTTAGAAACGCCCAATTTTGCTCTGCAGAGACCTCAATCTCAGTTTGAACGTCTGTGAACTACAGTTCCCAGAATGCCCGAGTCATTCTCTTTCCGGTTGTCCATGACTTTAAAAGTCTCCGCGGGGAAATGCCGACACAGCTCAAGTTTGTATGTTTTTCTATGCGCGGAGTTGCCATGGTTTCCATAGTTTTGTCAACAGCATAATGGTATGTTTGTAATATTATTTTTTGAGAGTCGTTGTATGCAGTTTCTTATATTTTCCTTTAGATTGTTCTAGATCTAAATTGTGTGCTTCACAGGCCAGCATGTGTGGTATTGGTGTAACGTTAATAAATGTGAATCAAATAGTTGCGCTAATGTCCCTCACAGAAAAATTATAAAATTATAATTGTTTCTGTCAGAGTATGATAGGTATTACAGTTATTGTTGCTACTGTAAATTTCAACTCCAGACAATTAAATAAGCTCTTAAAATATTTATGTGGTCTCACTTTACCTTTTAGTAAGGGTTATTTTATGGAAACAATGTCTAAAGTTTAAAGTGACATTTATGTGATGCTTCTCATTCTTAATTTATGTATGTTGTAGTAAAATGACTTCCCATTACAAAAATAACCATATATATCATGTTACATCATGTTAAATACAGTTATTTGTACTATTATAAAATCAAATAGCATGCCCTTTTAAAATGCTGGCTGCTAACAAGTCACCACAGGTTTATTGTAACGTTAGTATTAATAACTGTAGTAAAGATGGTTATCATGTATTTGTAATGGTGCGGTCACATTTACCATTGCTCTTGGAAATTGACGGAATTGAGTCATTCCTATAGGAATCTGCGCGATTGGGAATTTCGTGTGAGGGCAAAAATGCAGATTTCGATCATTTTCTAGTTGGATCACTTGAATTCACCTTGCTGACCAACAGGCCTGCTTGATTTGAAAGTGAGTTCTGTACATCATTATGCTATTGACAAGAAACAATGGATCTTTTTTGCATGGCGCACCTTAACGGGCTGTTTTGTAATATCAGCATATATACACTAGGCCTATATGGACAAAAGTATTGGGACACCCCCTTCTAATGAACAGGTTTGACTACTTTAGTAATTTCCTTGAGTACAAATCTTAATGTTTAAGAATATAATGATATTCTAGGGAATTGTGTGCTTGTAATTTTATAGCAACATTAATGTGGACAGGACCCTTTTCTATTCCAACATCACAGTGCCTCTGTGTAAAAGGCAAGGTTCAAAAAGAAATGATTGATTCTTCAGTCAGTGTGGAAGAACTTGACTGATCTGCATAAAGCCAAGTACTAATCCCAGCTGAACACCTCTGGTGTGACTTTAAATGCAGAGCTTGAGCCAAAAACTCATCACCAAATACCAATGACTTGTACATGTGTGTTCAGTCATTTTAGACACTTCCAAAACTGTTGCAACGGAGATGGAAATACAACTTTTAAATAAATTAATTATGTTTCCATCTTTGTTGCCACAGTTTTGGAACTGGTTTTTTCTGTTATACAGAAGGGGGTGTCCCAATACTTTTGTCTATATAGTGTATGTACAAGTCATTGGTGTTTGGTGATGACTTTTTGACTCGAGGTCTGCATTTAAAGTCACACCAGAGGTCTTCAGCTGGGA